TTAATTATCTTAGATGTCACAGTTATATTTTTTTAATCTAGCACTCATTCGCAATTGTTTGTGCCTTCGCTCGTTCTTGTTAATAAATTTACTTTAAACTTACTTATTTAATTATCTTAGTGTCATCACTACAAGAACGTACATACATATTATACATAGAAAACACCCAGACTGATACAAACAATTATACTCATGAATACAAATGTTTGTTCCGTGCGAGGAATAGAACCACGACCATCGGATAGTAAATTGGTGTGCTAAACCACTAGACCACCGGAACTGCCAAATAATAGAATAGAATAGGAAATTCTTTATTCAAATAAACTTAAATTTAAGCACTTTTGAATAGCCATACTTATTCTTTTTAATCTACCGCTCATTCGGAAAGCTGTCTCATCACAAGAAGAACGAGAAAGAAACTTGCGTGTTTCTCTTTTGTGTTCACATTTTTTAATTTAAATATAATAGAAACTACCGACTACTACTAATAACTACTACTACTAATTCATTAGAGTCAAATATTAAATACACAACGAAATGGTTGAGTAACTAAATTAGAGTAAGACGTAGTGAGCTACATCAGTGTAAAGTTTCATCGAAATCCGTTCAGTAGTTTTTGCGTAAAAGAGTATCAAACATCCATACTTACAAACTTTCGCGTTCTACTATCATCTATCTATGCATCCATCCATCCATACTGACAGACTTGCGCATTTATAATATTCCTAAGATATTTCAGCAGATCAGCTCGACAAGCACGTTCACGAGTATGACGGATGATAATGCACATAAAGTTTTTAGTGTCACGTCACGCGCGAACGACTAACTACAGTAAGTACTTATATAACACAATAATCTATACAGATAAATAAAATTGTAGTGTCTGTTTGTAATATTGAAATAACCGTTTTTTACTACATGCTTATGAATATAAATACGGTACATACGCCAAATTAACATTTACACAAATTACAAATTTACAAAAAACAAATTACAATTTTTGTCTGTCTGTCTACCTATCTATTTGTTCTGGCTAATCTCTGAAATGGCTGGACCGATTTTGACGGGATTTTTCTGGCAAGTAGCTGATGTAATAAGGAGTAACTTAGGCTACTTATATTTTAGAAAAAAAATTCAATTTAGAAAAACAAAGTTAAATTCCACGCGGACAAAAACGCGAGTACAGCTAGTCTTTATATATAAAAATAACGTGTCGCGTTGTTTGTCCGCGATGAACTACTAAATTACTGAAGCAATTGCAAATTTGACTTGCACATTGTGTGCAATTTGATCCAACTTGAAAGATAGGATAGCTTACATCTCAATTTATAGTTGCAATATCTAGACACGCGGTAGCGTGTCAAGCCGAGTTTCAAGTAAGACAACTGGCGAGCAGCACCGTGTGTATATTTACACGAACCATTTGGAGCCACTTTTGACACCCTCATAACTCAAAAATTCTTTCACATAAACCTGTCAAATATATATATACGAAATATACTGTAGCCTTCGCAAGTTTTAAACATGTTACTTGTCGGTTCCTATTTTATTATTAGTAGTAACTAGCAATCGAAAGTAATAATTGGTATATGAGAACTGTCCAAGCTAGACCTTAGGCTACAGTATATTAACCTAAGTTATAAGAAGAAATGATATTTTATATTGTTATAAATACATTTCAGGACAGACCATTGAACTTGGCACCCATTTAGATCTCATCTCTTTTGTCGTAGAAGTCAACAATCAAGGCATATATCATAATATTAAACTCGGCTATCATTTCACATTTATGTTTTTGTTGGGATTAAATTCAAATTCAAAATATCTTTATTCATGTAGGTCTATTACAGACTCTTATGATATGTCAAATCTACCGTCAGTTCGGAATGATATCGAGATGAGAAGAACTGGCAAGAAACTCAGCTCGTATTTTTTTCAAATAATAGTGGAACATGTTTATGATAAATACAGTTATTAAAATTCAAATTTGGGAGAATAATTATTTAATTATTTATTTAAGAATAATTATTTTATTCAAGAACCTTAGCCACAGCAACGCGTGGTCGGGTCTGCTAATTGTCTGTTAAATCAGGCGTGATACACAACAACATGTTTTCATTCATTGTTGTTTAGATAAGGACGGTATAGTTTTTTTAACGATTACTAGAAGACTAGCTGCCCCGCGCAACTTTGTCTGCATCACACGTACTTAACATTTCATCATCTGCTTCTTCCTTATCCCATTTATTTGTGGTCGGCGTAATATGTTTTTCTCTTCCATTCATCCCTGTTCGCAGTCATCGCGTTATTTACTCCCTTTCTTACCATATCATCTTTCACACAGTCCATCCATTTCTTTTTCGCCTTCCTCTGCTCCTATAACCATTCACATTCATATATAACACCTTCCTTAAGATATTATATTGCAATCATTCTTATCATCTGCTTCTTCCTTATCCCATTTATTTGTGGTCGGCGTAATATGTTTTTCGCTTCCATTCATCCCCGTTCGCAGTCATCGCGTTATTTACTTCCTTTCTTACCATATCATCTTTCACACAGTCCATCCATCTCTTTTTCGGCCTTCTTCTGCCCTTATAACCATCCACATTCATATGTAACACCTTTCTTAAAATATTATCCTCGCTCCTACGCATTACATGTCCATACCATGATAGACGATTACTCTTCAACCTCTCTGACACCGGCGCCACTTTCATACTTCCTCTGATGTATTCATTCTTTATCTTATCCATTCTTCTCACACCACCATCCACCACACATCCACGTACTTATCATTATATATCGCCCAATTTACAAAATATCTTCCTAAATTATTGCCTATGTGTTATTCTGATGTATAAGCTAGGTTGCTGTAAAGTTTCATCAAAATCCATTCAGTAGTTTTTGCATGATAGAGTATCAAACATCCATACTTACAGACTTTCGCGTTTAAAATATTACTAGTTACTCCCATAACTTCGCACGGGTGTACATGTATTATATATATAAATCTTCCTCTTGAATCACTCGATCTATTCAAAAAACCGCTTCAAAATCCGTTGCGTAGTTTTAGAGATTTAAGCATACATAGGCACGGAAAGACATCGACAGCGACATCGACTTTGTTTTATACTATGTAATGATTAAGATAAAACAAAGTGTGCCCATTCGCTTCCGCAATATGGTTTTTATATCACTCTATTTACACGTGTAACCAACTCTTTGTCATGACCTAATAGAGAAGGTGTGAATATTCTATAAACCATGTTATCAATGGAAATAACTCTTAGAAACCTACATATTACTATTTGATTACAAACAGGTTGTTTCGTTTCCTATGCCTGATTATGTGTCCATTAATAATAATAATAATAATCTCAGGACAATTCACACAGCGCCATCTAGACCCAAGTTAAGCTAACTAAAGCTTGTGTTATGGGTAGTACATAACTGATACAAATACATAGATTTTTTTCGTTAAATCCATACATATTATACATAGAAAACACCCAGACCGATACAAGCAATCATACTCATGAATACAAATGTTTGTGCCGTGCGAGGAATCGAACCCGCGACCATCGAAAGTAAAGGAATGTGCTAAACCGCTAGACCATCGAGGCCGTCAAAATAAAATATTTTTTTTTTATTTATTTATTTATTTAATTAACACAATATAATTTTAGTTCGCAATAGTAGAACTTGACTTGTATTTGGAACTATCAAGTAGTCCATACCTACATAATAAAAAGTAATAAACAATAGGCCAATAAAATATTATTCTTTCTTTCTCTCTTTCTTTCTTTCTTTCTCTCTTTCTTTCTTTCTTTCTTTCTTTCTTTCTTTCTTTCTTCAATAAATCAGTGATATGTCGACCTCCACGCGGTAATATCTGGAAAATGTCGTCATTAATGAGTATGATACTCACGAATACATACATTCATATTCACGAGTATGATTGTTTGTATCGGTCTGGTTTTTATCTAAGAATGTTATGTAATTAAAAAAAAAATTTCTAAGTATTTATATCAGTTGTCTAGTACCCATAAAACAAGCTCTGCTTATCTTGGAACTAGATGGCACCGTGATAATAATCCAGGGATGTTATTACTATATAAAGTTACTAGCTGTGCCCGCGGTTTTACCCGGTGAAATATATATCCTATACGTTATTCTGATGTATAAGCTATATTGCTGTAAAGTTTCATCAAAATCCGTTCAGTAGTTTCTGCGTGAATGAGTAACAAACACCCATCCATACTCATCAACTTTTATAATTCTAATAAGATATTAGTAATTTTAACTTTGATTTTTAGTATTTGCTACAGAGCAAAAAATTGCCCAATTTTTCCCAATAGTCCCATAGTCCCGGAGCTAGTCGTGAATTGAAGCTCTCATATTTATGAAGCCGACTGTACTAAGATTGTTATCAACATCAGCTGTTTTATTATCATATATAAAGTCATTTAATTTATTTACATAAAATGATTAATGAATACAAAAGGAATGACGGATTTCTTCCAATCAACCTTTGAATGACTGAAAGGTATTGTGGAGTGGTGGAAATATATACATATATATATATATACATGACAATAACAACAAAGGAAAAAGAAGCAAACACATTACATATAACTATAATATATAACAACTAGAATATTAAATAAATATTTAAGTTTAATATATAAATATACCTACATATAAATAAAATAATAATTATGAAATAAAAAATATATAAATAGTAGTTTTATAAAAATATTTCACCTACAGAAACTTACCTTTTCAACGAATACCAGTAACTTGTATTATTTTACAAATAGAAATAGAAATAATTTAAAAATATATTATTGGGCGAAATATAATAACAAATCTCAAGCAAGTGCGCGCGGGACAACTAGTATTCAATATTGTGAAACATATAAGCACTGTATTCTAAAAATAAATAAATAAATTTAGTTAAAAATTTTTTTTAAAGTAAATAAATAAATAAACATTACCTGTAATTAAGATCGGCTGCTGCAAAGATATATTGTCCATTGTACACCGCACTGAAGAGAATTGGGAATATAATGAAGCAATACGTCAGCATCTGGTAGCGGCCGAACTGCCCCAGCTCGGCCAGGATCGAATCCAGGTCCACTCCATCCTTGTGCTTCTCCATGGTCACAATTGTTCACACATAATAGGAAGGAACGTCGTCGCTCAACCGCGGCCGGACTCAGTCTGCATTACGATTCGAAGCATTATCAAGTACTAGAATGTTGTTATACACAAATCACGGGGAAATGTGGAGACACCTTCATAAAACAACTGCTACGAGAGATAATCCAGAATATGTGTCTAACAGTCTGTTAAGTAATTTGTCTAAACTGTGTATGCCATCTTTTTATAATCATCTTTGAGGGTAGATACAATATACTGTTTTAAATTTGATGTGGTCATTATTTATACATATAATTAGTAAAAATCACGGGATCTTACCACGTTTTATATTTATTTGCTGAGTCCCGAGAATCACGGGTAGCAAATAAATATAAAACGTGGTAACATCCCGTGATTTTTACTAATTATACGTATAGATACAATACATATTTTTTTTTTATAACACGGGACAAACGATCATGCACTCACCTGATGGTAAGTGATTACCGCCGCCCATGAGTACCCGCAACACCAGGGGAATTGCAAGTACGTTGTCGGCCTTTTAAAAAGGAATAAGCTCTGTTCTTGAAGGTTTCAATATCGTATCGGTTCGGAAATACCATTGCTGGAAGGTGATTCCACAATGTGGTTGTGCGAGGCAAAAAGTTTCTAGAAAACCGCACTGTGGAGGACCGCCATTATTTTGATAATCAGTACATTCGGACTTAATAGTCTAGCGCAGAGGTTCCCTAACTCTTTTCTGTCGTTGACCCCTTGCCATCATCATCTGCTTCTTCCTTATCCCATTTATTTGCGGTCGTCGTAATGTTCTTCTCTTCCATTCATCCCTGTTCGCAGTCATCGCGTTATTTACTTCCTTTCTCACCATATCATCTTTCACACAGTCCATCCATCTCTTTTTCGGCCTTCCTCTGCCGTTATAACCATCCCGACTCCTTGCCATATATTTCGGTTTTGGGTAGACCGCCATTCTTACCTGGTATTGATTTTTTATAACTTTCCAACTGTAGTAAAGTTTAGTGTTAAACACATAAAGTAAAAACAACAAGATGACGGTTGTCGTAGACCCCTTGCAGTTTTCATAGACCCCTGGGGGTAGATATAGACCATTTTGGGACTCACTGGTCTAACGGTTTAGCATACCGACTTCCAATGGTCCCGGGTTCCCGGAGTATAATTGTTTGTATCGGTCTAAGTGTTTTCCATGTTATATGAACTTTATATTATTGATATCTATTTTTATATATCACTTTTGAGTAACATATTGTTTTGTTACTTTCCCTCGCTGTGAGAAGAAGAAGAAGAATACACATTTTTACTAGTATTTAGTTTTTATTAAAATAGTAGTTGTGTTCCCGCTCCAGTAACATTATATAATATATGTATGTATTTCCAAAACAATATATCTATGTATTTGATGGCCTAGCGGTTTAGCACACCGCTTTTCTTCGGTCGCGGGTTCGATTCCTCGCACGGTACATTTGTATTTATGAGTATAATTGTTTGTATCAATCTGGGTACTTTTGATGTATATTACAATAAAATATTATATTACATATGAATGTGGATGGTTCTCTTTTTCGATCTTCCTCTATCATAAGGGTAGAGGAAGATCGAAAAAGAGATGAATGGACTGTGTGAAAGATGATATGGTGAGAAAGGGAGTAAATAACCAGATGACTGCGAACAGAGATGAATGGAAAAGAAGAACATATTACGACGACCACAAATAAATGGGATAAGGAAGACGATAATTATGATGATTACAATAAAATATCTATGTATTTATATCAGTTGTATAGTACACATAACACAAGCTCTGCTTAGCTTGGGACTAGATGGCGCTGGTCAGTAGACGATTATTTCGTGAAAGGTCTACCCTTTCACGAAATAATCATCTACTGACCTTAGAAATCGCATTGTCTATACGTAAAGTAATTTTAAGTACTGACAGTGGCACTCAATGAGGAAGTAGCCATTATTATTGCTAAAAGTTGTATATAGATGGCGTGATTGGTATCGATGGAATTCTTCATAGTTTTGCAAACGTTTTAAAAAACAAAACTGTGTTTTCAAAAATGTTTAATCAATTTTTAGAAAGTTATATATACATGTTAAAATGAAATAATGCGTTTAGAAAAGTAATTTTCATATATTTACTCATTATCTGTGGTACCGATAAGTAATTTAGAATTTTCGTATTACGTTGATCTCTTAAATGCAAAAATGTTGGTCATCTGATAAGATAGCTGCTTTCAATACTAAGTAGCGTATCTATTAAGTAGTATTGTGACGAAATAGTGATAATCTTTAGAGATAACTAGCTGTTACTCGCGATTTTGTCCAATATACATAGTTAAACAACCAACAATAACGTTCTCGAGGAGAGTTGGTGACAGTCTGGCGGTCGGCCGTAAAAAACATGTAGAATCTAAAATGAAAGTAGTCTAAGTTACTCTATATAATATTAGCTATCTACGAGTAAAATTTCCGTCAAAATCGGTCCCGCCATTTCAGAGATTAGCAATACCAAACTAATAGAAAGATTTTTTTAAATAAATTTTTTAATGTAAGTGCTGTAAAATAATTTTAATATGGATTTCGTGAAAAGCTGTTAATTTTATATATTAGGGAGATGTTTCAATATTATTTATTTATATAAATAATTGAGTAGATATAGTAGCTGCTTACTGTAGTAATATATTCATTTACGTGGTTGTAAATTGTGATAAAAATAGAATAGAATAGAATAGAAAATCATTTATTCAAATAAACTTACATCGAAGCACTTTTGAATAGTCATCACATTTTTTTTAATCTATTCTGAAAGCTGTCTCATCACAAGAAGAACGAGCAAGAAACTTGTATGTTGCTCTTTTAAATAATTTTATTCTTACTTTACAATTTAAGATTAAGTGTGTGGGAAGGAAATCAGTCATAGTGATTAGGGCAAACCAGTCCCTACAAGCAGCACCCGTACACGAGTATGACGGATGAGCCAACCATCACTGCGCTTGACCATATTTTAGGGAGTCCAATGACCCGGCCAACTTTAGAAGAGAATAGAATATCATATCATATCATTTAACTTTGTATCAATAATTTAAGAATAGAATAGAATAGAAAATCATTTATTCAAGTAAACTTAATTTAAGCACTTTTGAATAGTCATAACAAATTTTTTTTTATCTACCGCTCGTAAGTGTACCTGACAGAAACTATTACAATACGAAATTGTATTAAATAAACAATCACTTAGTGAAGAGATTCTCAACATTGTGAAATTCTGCCTTGACATATATGTACACATGGCATCTTGAAGGAAAATTACTCTAAAGAAGTTTATCAGGTAGCATTGTGACGTACAGATCAATAACGTTGTAACATTTATCTATATCTATCTTGATACAGCAAGTTTCATTTTCGTAATAGCTACTTATATTCTACGGACTCGGTGGTTTAGCGGTTAACACACCGCCTTACTTCAATTGATTGCGAGTTCGATTCCTCGCACTGTACGCACATTTGTATACTTACGAATTAAGTACATTATGAAACTAGCTGTTCCCGCGACTTCTCCGCGTGGAATTTAACTTTATTTTTCTAAAATAAAAGTAGCCTAAGTTACTCCTTATTACATCAGCTACCTGCCAAAAAAAGTCCCGTCAAAATAGGTCCAGCCATTTCAGAGATGAGCCGGAACAAACAGACAGACAGACAAAAATGAAAAAAAAAGTTATTTTGGTGTATTTACCGTATTTATATTCATATGCATGTTGTAAAAAACGGTTGTTTCATTATTACAAACAGAGACTCCAATTTTATGTATATATTATAGATTATATATATCTGTATAATGTTTTTATAGAAAAACTTTAAATCCATAGCACTGACAATATTATCTAATTACACTAATAATGAGTGCGTAGCGATTTCTATGTTGATTATCGCATGCCTCTTACTTGTTATACTGTAATTATTTATATAAAAAAAACATCTATTAAAAAGAGCAACACACAAGTTTCTTGCTCGTTCTTCTTGTGATGAATCTGCATTCCGAATGAGTGGTAGAATCAAAATATGACTATTCAAAAGTGCTTGTTTGCAAAAGTGTTGTTATTTGAATAAAGATTATTTCTATTTCTATTATATAAAAATAACGTATCTATATATTACCATCAGTTGTCTAGTATCGATAACCCAAACTCTGCTTAATGTGGAACTAGATGGCGCTGTGTGAATTGTCCTGAGATATTATTACTAAATTAAACTATATATGTTTACACATCAAATGTGCGAATCCAGTCACCTTATATGTACCTCCTTGTTATTGGCCTTGTATGCAAATATATAAATAATGGAATGGTGCACCAGCCTGCGGTTTTTTTTATGACGCAGGAGACAAACGAGCATGCGGCTCACCTGATGGTAAGTGATTACCGCCGCCCATGAGCACCCGCAAGACCAGGGGAATTGCAAGTACGTTGTCAGCCTTTTCTTGAAGGTTTCAATATCCTATCAAACGGTTTACGCTGGTGGAGTCCCAGTGGAGGATAAGAAGAACATAAGGGCAGATCAGTGAGGTCATCATGGCAAATTCAGTAGAAAGGGGAAAGGTATTGTTAGTAATGTGGATTAATAGATTAGCTATAGTTAGCTATAGTTATTATCGAGCGATCTACTGTATGAAGAGTCGTGACTCATTAAGAGAGAAATTCAAAGAGGCAAATATTCCATCCTATATGTTCATAAAAATCTTGACTTATTTCCAAAAAACAGCAATATTCATAATATTAATACTAGATTTAAAGACAAACTTGCTGTCCCCAAGTATCGTTTAGAAAAATTAATAGGTCTTTTATGGGAATAGGTATAAAAATTTACAATAAAATACCAAAGGATATATTGGAATTACCCTTAAATAAATTCAAAACATCTGTTAAATCATATTTACTGAGCAAAGCCTATTACTCACTAAACGTTTCTTGCCAGTTCTTCTCAATTGGATCTATATACCGAACTGGACGGTAGGGAAAAAAAAAT